GGGTCTCTGTACACCGCCGGCAAGAATACGAGAACGAGAAGAAGACGGGAACGAGAACAGCCGGGGAGCGAGCGCGTGGGCGTGGCGGCGAGTTCCGGCCGCTGCAACTCGAACAATCGCTGCGGGAAGACGAGGGGGGCGGAGGGGGCGAAGGACCGCGAACAAAGTATCGCGTAGAAATCGGCCGTCGAATCTCGACGCGGGTTTCCCGATCCGGTCGACGTCACGTGGCCCGCTGCACTAACGTTTTCCAGTTGCCCCTCGATTTCCATGCTATATCCTTCTTTTCTCCGCGCGCGCGCGCGCGCGTGGCTTTTTCTCCCGCGAAGCGATATCGTCTCCTTGCAACGCGGAAGATCGTTACCTCGTTCCGCGTGCACGCGTAGATACGTGTTCCACGTTTCCAGAGAATGTGGCCGAGGCTCGTTGTAACGGGTGTTTCGCGTCCACCCAAGCGCGAGGCGTTCACCGATAATTCTAGGATGTTGTTCGGACTGAGACGCTAGATCGCGGCGATGCGATCAAAAACGATCCAAAACGGTACGAGAGGAGAGATCGGATCCGGTCCGGTACCGATCGAACGCGTATCGCGTTTACATAATCTTTGCTTCACGCCCGATTTAACCCTCTACGGGCGCCGAAGCCCTTTTTCTTAGCCCTTTGCACTCGAGCGGTGACTCGGAGGCAGCGCTAAAATTTGTTGTATCACCTTTTAAGATCATTTTGATATTGGCGAAGTTTAGATTTCAAAAATTGTTAAGAGTGTAAACTGTTGCGCGAGTCCCAAGAGTCGATTTCGTATGCGTAAAATGCATTTTGTCACGAAAAATAGAGATACTATAAGTTAGAAAAATGATTTTATATTTTCGGTTAAAATAGCCTCGAGTGCAGAGAGTTAAATATCAAGAAATTTATGCAACCGAAACTCGACAATTGTAAAGAAGATATTAACCCTTAGGGGAGCAAAAGTATTTATTTCCAGTTTACACACTGTCAAGTCCAGACGGTTTTTCAGACGAAGAGAAATTTTTTACTAAAAATTATTCTATCAAATATAGAGAAGAGATATTCACTTTTTAAATAAAACTTTGTTGAATTATTTTCATCGGAACAATCGTGCCTATTCTTCCAATGTTTCCTGCCAGATTTTACGGTTTTATCGATTTCTGCCGCCTGTAAGGCGGCATTGGACCGTTAAGGGTTAAAGAAGATATTATTAAGAAGAAATTTACCGGTTCGAACAATTTTATTATAATTAATTCGCTTTGTAACTTTTCCGTGACAACGGCCTACAATGTTTGCGCTTCTGTGGCTAAAAAAGTTTAACCGTGAAATTCCGTAAAACAGTTTGCACTTTGATCGATCAGATTGCACCGATTGATATTTCAGGTTGACGGTTATGTCAAGATCATCGGCATTGCTGTCAACCGTCATCGACATTATTATTGCTTATCTCAGAGACATTGTATAAGTAAAACGTATAAGTCGTCTTATGAAAAGAAAACCAGAATTATTTGGTAATATATTATTGTAATATATTACAGTAATGTCTTTCTAATTGACGCTCAGCTTGTCCACAATTATAAAAATGAGCCGCAAGGCTCGAATAATCGTATCTCCTCTTCCCAAATTGTTCATTTTTGTGCACAATCTGAGCGTCAGTTAGGGAGACATTGCTGTATTTGGTCGACATATTACCATGTGACCTACTATCGTTCGAAGATCATCGAATGCTTCGTATTCTTTCCAAAAAAACGACGAAACAGAGAATTCGCGGAATTTCCAAATTACTTTATCGTAGAATCCTCTCTGCGTTTTCGCGCTCGGTTGCGAATACGCGAGCGCGGTTATATAAAGATTATTTAATAGCGACAAACAAGGAAACGGGCGGACTAGAATCGGGAAAGCTGGTAACCGATGAACAAAACGCGGACAAAACCGTGGTGCATAGAAATTTGCAGGACAAAACGGGCTTGAACGAAAAGAGCAACGTCGGATGCACATCGGCGGCGGAAATCGGACGCGCGCGGACGCACGAGAGCGTTGTTGCGTTCGCGCGTTTAACGTTAACCGCGGATACAGATTTCTTGCGATCTCTTTCTCTGTGCGTTAGTCGGCTGGTCGGGCCGCTCGCCGCTCGCCAGGACGAAAAGCCCGAGCGAGCGGCGGAGGTAGCACGAACGAGAGTAGAAAGGAAAGGATCGCATACCTGTGGAGCAGGTGTTCCATCCAAGACCGGCTTTTCGTTCTTTCTCTTGCCGCGTGTACCCGCCGCCGCGGCTCGTTCGCAACGCCTTCAACCTACGTTGCGCGTACTCTCGCGCGCGCAACTACAGGGTGTCCGAAAAATGTCTCGCAATCCGGAAACAACGGGTACCTCGGATCATTCGAAGCAACTTCTTCCTTTACGAAAATGTTCTCCGAGGCGTGGATCGCGAGTTATTAACGAAAAAGCAGCGACCAATGAGAGGCGAGCGCGGCTGGCGCGAGGCGACCGAGCCAATGAGCGTGACCGGGCGCCGTTGACTGGGCCGCCTGGCGCCAGCCGCGCTCGCCTCTCATTGGTCGCTGTTTTTCGTTGATAACTCGTTAACGGTGCCTCGGAGAGAATTTTTGTAAAGGAAAAAGTTGCTTCGAACGACCCGAGGAACCCGCCACTTTCGGATTGCGAGACGTTTTTGGGACACCCTGTGTACTGATTCACTGCAACGCAACGGTAAGTTCGCGCGTAGCGTGACGCGCTCGGTTTCCGAGCAAAATGGCTCTCGACTTTCTTCGAGATCCGGCGACAAATTTATCCGAAAGGGAGACAGGGAGACACCGGCCTCCGTAGTAACCCTTTTTGTTCTTCTCGCGTTACCGCGAGGGTGAACGAAACGACAAAAATAACCCCGAAGGTTGCTCCTCCGCGGCAGCAGCCCGACGAACGCGCGGCCACGGGAACGGAAGCATCCGGTTTTTCGAACGGACGACGACGCCTTCTCGGGGCTCGAACGACGAGCGCCTTTTTCCGATCGCTTTCGATCGCTTCCGGCCTGGAAACCGGAGCCCCGCCGGATTCCTCCCCCCGGAAAAACGGATCGAGGCGTTCGAGCGACGTCGTCGCACGGTTCGCCGAAGTCCGGCCGCGATCGATTTCTCGCATAGCCTGGCGAGAGAACTCGCAGCTATTTCTTCAAGAATCCTCGACCTATATAATAGGAAACTCGTGGTCGACCGCTGTTCACTTAACCACGAAACGTCCTTCCTCTTCCACGTCTTCTTCTCCCCTCGGAGGGAGACGCGGATATTCGACGTCGATCGGTGAAAAAACCGTGTTTTCGAAAAACGGAGAACGCGGATATCCGGAAGACACGCGAGGCATCGAGGCAGGCGTTCGAGCGAGAAACCGGGAATCAAGAAGCGAAGAGAGTCGTCGCAGCCAGTCGTCGAGGCACGTGCCAGTAGTACAAGCGCGGCACCGCAGCAGCAATTATTACGCAACGCGGTGAACGATGAATGAACCGAGAGAGAACTTGACGGTACGCTGACTTTCACGGGTGCAGACGAAGCCAATTATCAGCCTTCGGTGCAACGGATGCACGCGCCGTCCCGGTTGCGTTTCGGTCCGGCGTTGCACCGCGTTGCACCGCGCGTTGCGTCGCGCGGCGCCGTGCGTTAACACCTGAAGCGAACCGGTTGAACGTGCGCGACCGGTCGCCGGACAATCGATAAAAACCGAGCAAAGGTTAAACAACAGGCGAGCTCGCGTTAGCCGGGTGGCACGCGCGCGCCGAGGAAACCGTAGGAAAAATTGCTCGCGTTCGAAACCGGAAGACACGCGACCCGGCTTCTTTTCTTTTTTTTAACGAAACGCGGACACTTTCACGCGCAACCTCTGACCCCGAACCCGTTCGATTCCGGTTCACGAGAGGAGAAAATACAACGTGTCCTAATCTAAGTCAACGTCGGACGGCAGATCGTTGCGAACGCGACGGAAAATCGAGGAAAAACGATGTCTGTAGTGGCGAGCGTTTCTTTTTTTTCGGAGCGTTGCGCCGAAATATTCGTCACGGTGATACGGTGATTCTCTAATTGACGCTCGGATCGTCCATAAAAATGGACAATTTTGAGAAGAGGAGATACGATTAGTCGAGAGACTTGCGGCCAATTTTTGTAGTCACCGATAGTCAATAATTATAATAAATGTGATTCAAGGCTCGAATATTCGCTTAGTACATTACTTTTCGTTATTACTTAGTATACAGTAATGTCTCTCTAATTGACGCTCGGATCGTCCACAAAAATGGATAATTCTGAGAAGAGGAGATACGATTGGTCGAGAGCCTTGCGGCTAATTCTTGTAATCACCGATTGTCAATAATTATTATAAATGTGATTCAAGGCTCGAATAATCGCTTAGTACATTACTTTTCATTATTACTTGGTATACAGTAATGTCTCTCTAATTGACGCTCGGATCGTCCACAAAAATGGACAATTCTGAGAAGAGGAGATACGATTGTTCGAGCCTGGTGGCTCGTATTTTATGGTTATCGATTGTGACAGGACTCTTTCGCATCCGAAAGAGGTCGAATTCGCTGCTCGAATTCAGTTTGTTCGAACGTACAGTAATGTCTCCCTAATTGACGCTCGGATCGTCCACAAAAATGGACAATTTTGAGAAGAGTAGATAGGATTGTTCGAGCCTTGCAACTCCGGTTTTATAGTTGTTGACAATCGATAACCATAAAAGACGAGCCACAAGGCTCGAACAATCGTATCACCTTTCCCAAAATTGTCCATTTTTGTGGACGATCCGAGCGTCAATTAGAGAGACATTATTGTATATCATGCCTGTCACTACAGAATCGCGCGAAATAATTTGCCCACGGAGACGAGATTAACCTATAGAAAATGTATGTTATCTCGTATATGTATTTCGCCCGATGCATCGTCGCGAAGCAAAAGCGAGCATTCGCTGGAAAATACGTAGAAATACGATGAAAGAGTCGACTCACCTCTCTATGGTCCGTGTTCGATCTCGAGGGACGAGAAAAATCGTGCGGAGAAAATCGGTGTCCTCGCTGGTCCTCGGGGGGGATGAGGCGAAAATTCGGGAAACTGTCACTCCGCGCGCTGCATTCTCTCGGATCGCCGTTAAACCGTTGAAACGCGACACCGAAACTGTTAAAGCGGTCCGATATTCTGGTGTCTACGTCGTTCGAATCTGCAGCTGCCTGTCGGCGCCACCGACGACGTCCCTCAGGCACGGTCCTTCGAATTGTCTCCTGATTCGTTCGGACCCGGTGCGGTCTATCATGACCGATCTCTGCGAGCGACCGCTCGGTAATCTGTCGCAATTCGGCGCAACACCGTGCGAGCTTTGTGCGGGCCGTTCGATCGAGGCGCGGGGGCCAACGGGGACGGGCATTCGCGAACCGTTCGCGGGCACCGGCCACCAAACAGTTGTCACGGTCTCGGACCGGTCGACATTCGAATCCGCCGAGTCGCGAACGCGAACCGGCGCGGTCTCGCCTCGCGGTTCCGAATCGGTGGTCCCTCAGCGAAAGGAGAAAACGGGACGCGGCGGCACGGCTTCGGCACTCTGCATCACACAAACACGTCACGAGAGCACGAGCACGGGCACGGGCTGAATCACTGGCACGGGCGACGCGTCGCGGTCGACGTCCACGCTCGTTCTGAGGCGAGGGACCCGGTACTACGACGATGGTGGCGATGGCGACGACGATGGTGGCGACGATGGTGGAGGGAATGGTGGCGATGGTGGTGCTGCCGATGGTGGCGCACCCGCACCCTCGCGGCTCCCATTGGCCCATCGGTCGGCGGCCACCGACGCCGACTATCGCACACCTTCCTCTCGCAGGGGTTCTCTTAGACGCGCCCTGGCAACCGTCCGGCCAACTATTTTATCGACTTTTCTTCCCGACGAACTTCGAAGCGTTTCCGTGCCGGACAACCGGCCGATCTAACAGCGATCGAATCTCCTCCGCTCGCGACGATCGCGTTACGTTTTCGATTCGAAACGATGCGCGGTATTTGATTTGAAACCTAGTAAATCGGCGCTAGATTTATGGAACGCGTCGTTTCCACGGGTCCCAAATGTTTTAATTTGCAATTAGAGAAATTATATTAATCTCATTGGATGCAATAATTTCATTAGACAGAAATTATAGTGACGGCTGAGGTTTAACCTCAGCTTAATAGAGTATTAATTAGAATAGTAATTACAGTAAACCTCGAGTTTAATTTTCTAATAGCTTACAATTCCTTGTAACGACAGATCGGTGTACTTTGGAAAACATGCCGGCAATACGGTAATGTCTCTCTAATTGACGCGCAGATAGACCACAAAAATGGACAATCCGGGAAGAGGAGATACGATTATTCGAGTTTATTTTTATAGTTATAAATTGTCCACAATTATAAAAGCGAGCCGCAAGACTCGAATAATCGTATCTCCGCTTCCGAAATTGTCCATTTTAGTGGAGAATCTGAGCGTCAGTAAGGGAGACATTACCGTATCTCGCAATACGAGATACTTTTAGATCTCACAGTTTGGATTTTCGACGTTTCGATTTTATAATGCCGGAGTTTTCGAACCCGTCGAATTCGAATTCAATCGCGAAGCGTTAAATAGTTCTGATGCGAATTGAAAACTACGCGGCGCAGTCGTCCTAGCAACCGAAAAGTTGCCACAGTTCCCTCGACGAACTATAATACCGCGTTGCTGCACCGGACAACGAGGCGCATCGTTTTACTTAAACTTTTCCAATTTGCGAGTTCCGTGGCTCTGGGAAGACGAATATCGCGACCCTCGCGCGTTCGTTCGGTTGCGCATGGAAACGCGTCTGAACGCGTAGAAAAGCCGGTTTATCTTGCAGCGCGTGAAATCTCGCTTCTTTTCAGCGACAAGTATATACATATACATACACATGTGTTTCTATTCCTCGTCTAGTTTTGCGTTCAGCCGTTCCCGAGTTGTAAGTTGCGTGAAACCTTTCGCGGGACGGGCTATGATCGGGAACTCAGCGACCTTGTACGTTGAAAGCGTTTCGACAGAGCCGTCGACTATGTTCGTGACGTACTTGATCCGGATTACGAAAACGCGATTAGCGATCCGATCGAGTTGAAACGTTCTTGCGACTCTTCTTCGGGAAACGCTGCTAGCAGAATCCGACGGACGCTGGTTATACAGGGTGTCTTGTTTGAGTGGGTGCAGCAGGCTGTCTCGGAAGGAGTTATAGTTATTAAAACAATTTTTTTAATAACTTAATTACTACGACTAAACCTTCCGAGATATCCTGCTGTACTCGCTGTTTAACAAAATTATTCTTTTACATTTCTATTACCTCGTGATCGGGATTCGTCTGTGAATAAAGTAAACTAAGAAGTGTGTTCGTCGATCGAGAATTCGAGAGATCCGTTAAAAGTGTCAGGATCACGGACAAATGTCGCTGCTCGAAGGCAAGAAGGTAATTGCGTGATAACGAGGGTCAGAATCGTGAGTGAGAAAGAGTCTCTCGGTTGTGAATTCGTTCGGCGAGATCGGTGACCTCTAACCTCCGCGCTCCTCTGTTTCTCTCTCTCTCTCTCTCTCTCTCTCTCTCTCTCTCTCTCTCTCCTAGACAGCATCTCCTTTTGTTAACCCAGACCTGGCAAACGTGTTCTCATCTTTCTCTCTCTATCTCTCTCCGTCTGCCTCTGTATCTCCAGTTCTACCACTTCTCTCCCACCCTCGCCCAATCTTCCTATACGTCCATCTCCTTCTAGTTTATCGATTGCGGCACTGGCCTTAACCACGGTAGCTCGACATCAATCGCCTGTTCCCATCGCGTCGAATCGCGAAGATTAGGAACAGCCGAATCGTGTGCGCCGTACGCTATTCGGAAACGACGAATTGCGATAGGTCATCGATCGCGGAACTTCTACCAGCGTTTCACCTACTCGTCGCCTATCCTAGCCTTTAACACATTAAATTCTTATGTTAATATTGTATAATATTATAATATATAAATATATAATATAATATGTAATGTATAAATAATATATATAATATTATATTAATATTTATATTAATATTCTATAACGTCATAGATTTTATATACATATAATATTAATATATGTATATTACAATTAATATAATATTATAATATGTTATATTAGCTCTGCCTCGCTCTAATATACAAATGCAGTGCAATATGAAATAAATAAATAGACATCTGAGCTCATTTGAAGTAACTTTTTCCTTAGCGGAAATGCAATCTGCTGCTTCGTTTGCGAGTTATTAACGAAAAACGTTGACCAATAAGAAGCAAGCTCGGCTGGCGCTAGGTGGTCGACCCAGCGAGCGGTCGAAGCCGCTGATTGGCTTGGCCGCCTAGCGCTGAGCGTGCTTGCCTCTCATTGGTCAACACTTTTCGTTAATAACTCGTAAACGAAGCCGCGGATTGCATTTTCACAAAGGAAAAAGTTGCTTCAAATGACCTCAAGAATCATCCTATTAACATAATTATGAGACAGCCTGTATAATTCCGGAACAACATGGTTTCATAACCGGGAGAGCAACCGATCTAGCAGTGGGCTATCAAGACGATGCTATTCGCACAGATTTCCAGGAAGCTTCTGACTCATCCTAGCACACTGATCCCTCTATCATCATCATCATCAAACAGATTCAAGTCACTCGGTCCAGTCTGAAAAAAGTTATTGCATCTTAAAATGTGTACTCGCTGAATGTTATCAGTAACCGTATGTTAAATATACTGCGAAAGAGCTCGTTGAAGAGCTCGTCAACGATGAATAATAACAATAACAATAATCGACACAGCGGTCGAAACGGCGAGAAGATAGTCGATTTAAAAGGCTGCCGGTGATTTTCTCTTCGTCTACGCCTTGCTACAGGAGGTAGAAAGCGAAGAGTGCGACCCCGACTGGTCCTCGAACGACTAGTTGGCAGATGGCACGCGTTGAGACCTTGCTCGGGCCCTTCCACGGGCCCTCGCTGGGGCCCCGGCTCGAAAGGCCTCCTCTCCGGAGTGGCAAGAAGCCGTGCGTTTTCCACGGGCACGAAAAAGAAGCTTGCGGACACGTCGACGTTAATCGGATCGATGACTTGTGGATCCAAGAGAGAGAGAAGAGAGAGGAAAGGTCCGGTCGAAAATATTCCGAATTGCACCGGCAGATTTTCAGCGAAGAGACTCGATCGAGATCGGTTTTGGTTGAGGTGTTCGGTGCTCCATCTCCGCTCTCCATTCTCCTCCGCCTGTATCGCTTCGAAGAGAGCAGGTGCGCCATGCATCACGGAAAACCAGTCTTTTTCTTATTGATCTTGCTTCTGCCCTTTGGACCGCCACCAATCCCACCTGCCGATCACGTGGCCTCCTCGAGCAACCAAACCACCCGACCAAATACAATTTACTCGGCGATCTAGCTGAATCGCTCTCGTCAAATATTTCCCTATGATTCCGGCCAGCGATTGCTTCTACGATATACAATAAATTCTCCCCGACTTTTGCACGAGTTTGTAAGCAAAAATGGACAATCTGGGAAAGGGAGATACGATTGTTCGAGCCTCGCGACTCATTCACGCTACTGTAAATAAATAATAAAATATGCTACTATATTTATAGTTTCCCTCCCCCTATTGCAAAATAATAATTTATATTATATTATATAATAATAATTTATATTATCTCCTCTTTCCAAATTGTCCATTTTTGTTTACAAGCTGAGCATTAATTAGGGAGAATTTACTTCCGCACCTATACCGAGTACAATTTAGACAACAACAATTGATTAAAAATCGCAGATGAGATCACGCCGCCGGGTTCGGATTATTACAATCATCTTAGAAACAGTTCGCCCGTTATTTGATCAATTGGCAACCATTTTACAGAAGCACTTTGTTAAATACAGTAAATTCTCCCTTATAGTTGTCAATTGTGAACGATTATAAAAAACGCTAAAAATGCTAAAAGCCGAAGAAAAATTAGAGAGAATTTACTGTAATCGAATCATCGTTTCGAACATCTTTTTCGACCGATTCGAAACTCGTGCGAAAATGTAACAGACGTGTTTGTAAATCCCGAAGAGGGCGGGGAAGGGTCATAGACGTTTCGGTCCTCGCGAAGAAAGAAACGAGGATCTTCCGACCCGCGTTATCGCAACTCGTGGCTCGTAACCCGTGGGCGTTCCGTAGCAATTTGTAATCGAATATGATCGATCGAGCGAATGCACCGAAACCGCTCTCGTACACGGGTCTCTCGCCCACCGATACCGAACCTTTCTGCAAGGTGTCCGTTCGGCGACCACCTGCTATCGGCGTTGTTTGCCGGCTGATGACAATTTGCTCGAGATCGGTGAAAGCAAACGCGTCGCACGACGCGTCCGACGTCCGTTCGACCGGCCGATTGTTCGCGCGTTAACTAATTCGAGACGTTGCGCCGAACGCGCGCACAGATTTCTTTCTCTGATTTCCGTGTAAAACCGGCGCGCGCCGGTCGATTCGATCCGAAAAGGCGGACGCGATTATGTTAAAAGTAGCTGGATCTATTATATTATAATAGAAATATAATAATATTATATTATAAAATAAATACTAATAATATAATCAATATAAAGTAATGAATAAATATTATAAAATAGATAAAATGTTATAAATATGTTATAAAGTATTATATAATATTTTACATATATATAAAGTAATGAATAAATATTATAAAATAAATAAAATATTATAAATATGTTATAAAGTATTATATAATATTTCTAATGCTTTTTGATGAAAATATAAAATGATAGAACGTCGGAAATAATATCTCTCTCTTTACATAAAATTTAATACAATATTGTATTGATAGAGATTTTGGGGAACAAAAATTGTTAACATTGAAAGTGGCATAATTCTCGGCGGTCTAAAAAGAAATAAAATCGGCACGCTGTTCCCCACACACTCGATCATTTCGAGAAACGACAATGTTCAGGATTACGCAAAATTTCGTGAGATTCAAATTCGATCGCCTTCTGGAATCGATTTCTGTGCGGCACGACGGAAACCTCTGAAGTAACGCGACGTCGGACCGGTCGTAATCGAACGGTATCGATTTGTAAAACTAAACGAAAGGTCGACGAAGAATCGGTGGAAGCGGACACGCGGCCGAGGACTCTGGAAGAAGGGCGAGCCGAGCGGCGCGCGTTGAAACGCGAAATCTCTTTTAATCCCGCGGTATAAGCGCGGATTCGCGGCGCGTTCCAAATTCCCCAGCCAAGTCGTTTGCTGGGCGGATAACAAAGAGGCCGTGCGGCGGAACGCTGAGAAAATGAGAAGTGTTCCCGGGGAAAAGAAAAACGAACCGTGCGGCCTGGTTCGACGGTGTACGGTATCGAGCAGGAAGAGGACGACGGGGCGAAATAGCGGACTCCGATGATTACCACTGACCCACATCCTGTTCCTCGAACAAAGCCTCCCCTCTTCGTCCTATATACCTCTCGCTAGGGGATGCTGGCCTCCCGACGGACTCGAAAAGAATCCCGCTCTATTCGCCGCCGCGCGGAAAGAAGCAAGTCTGTGTACGGGTTGGCATGAATTTTCCTTTATTTTCCATTATTTGCGTGGAGGAGGAGGAGGAATTCGCTTCTCTACTCGATCGGAGAGATCGGTGCGCCGGCACCTGGGAACAATGAAAAATGTTCAGATGCAGGACGCGACAACAGACAAAGATCACCGTCGACTCTCCGCGAGTCTCCGCCGTTATTTCACGATCGCAGGGCCACGCTCGATGGAGGATAATATCGTCAACGTTAGCAGTCCTCCTCGTCGTCCGTGTACTCGCATTGATCTATGAGCCTGGTGATCTCGGCGTCGTGTTCTCGCGACTCCTCGTCCGACAGATGCGCTTCACCTTCCATAAACTTGGCGAACCTAAAACAACGCGTATTTCAATCGGAGGGTTCGTCGAGTCGCCGATCGGCCGAGCTCGCGTGCCGTTTCCCCGGTTCAACGTCGTCGCTGGCTCCCCGATATTAACCTGAGAGGATCCTTTAGCCTGAGAACGGTCTTCCAGGTGTTACATTCGGGACTAGAGCAGTACTCTCTCAGCTCGGTCAACGCTTTTTTCGTTTCTATCACGCCTTCTTTACGGTACTGATCGTCCGTCAATAACTTTCTCTTTTCAGGAAACATAGTCTTCCTGATCACAAACACAAGCATACATGTAATAGGCGCCGCGCTACAGCTACCACACACACACACACACCGAGAGCCACCACCACCACCGTGTTATTATCGTTATCATCGACGTTACACCATTACCATCACGCTATATTGCAGCTCTACCGCCACCGCTACAGAAACCACAAATCGGGATACAAGAATAGAACCCCGCGGAGTCTCTAGAAACGAACGTGTCTCGTTTCCGTCGAATGCGCCCGTTTAATCGGTCGCGATCTCAATCGAGCGCGACCGATCCATCGAGATAATGGCCGCGTCGCTGCGACGTTAACCGAACGAATTTAATCGGGGACACATTATCTACCGACGATGATTTTCGAATTTTTCCGAAAGTCTACAATTTACGGTTGAGATCCTCTTGATACGGTAAATTCTCTCCAGTTGCACGCAAAAGATTGGACAATTTGGGAAGAGGAGACACGATTGTTCGAGCCTCGCGGATCGTTTTTATCGTTGTTGACGATCGCCGATTAGAAAAACGAACCGTGAGACGCAGTGAGCGACAATTGGAGAGAATTTATTCTATAGGATGTCCCAAAAATGTCTCGCGAAATGGAAATGGGGGGTTCCCGAGGTCATTCGAAGCAACATTTTCCTTAACGAAAATTTAATCCGCGGCTTCGTTTACGAGTTATTGACGAAAAACGCTGATCAATGAGAGATCGCGTGCGGCTGACGCCACGCCCTCGCGACCACTGCCGCCGCGTCAGACGGCCGGCGCGACGCGGCATTGGCCGCGAGGGCGGAGCGTCGACCGAGCTCGGTTCTTATTGGTCAGCGTTTTTCGTTAAGTCGATTCGAAAAGTCAGCAACCCCTAAGTCGAAACAAGACGTCCTTGGTTATTTTCATCCAATTATTTCGTTTCGGATTGTCAGGTCGAAAAAGCTCGTTTAGGTTTCTCTTAGTATAGCACGATAATTGAACCCTTTGCACTCGAATGACGCCATTGTCGCCGCTACGGCAACAATTTACACACTTTACAGAGTGTTACCTCGAAAGTGGCACACGACTTTTTACCAACGAGGCATGCGTCTAACAAGAAAAGCATAGAACAAAAGCTGCAGCGTGGGGAGCGTACGACAGATGTTAGTAAACAAATGGCGAAATTAAGGTCACCTTGGTTATTACGAATGGGGACACATACATTCTTTTTACCATATTAAAGGAGGACATCGAGACGAATTCAAAACACATATCGCACAATATTTTTACTAACATATTACTCGATTTACAATGTGTATTTTTTATCACATTTTTGGTCGTATTAGAACACAAGAAAAATTGCACTATATTTAATTTAGATGTTCGAAATACGTTTCACCTTCCGCGATGCAATATTCTGCGCTTTTGCAGAAGTTTTTACAGACTGCAAGTNACCGAACGAATTTAATCGGGGACACATTATCTACCGACGATGATTTTCGAATTTTTCCGAAAGTCTACAATTTACGGTTGAGATCCTCTTGATACGGTAAATTCTCTCCAGTTGCACGCAAAAGATTGGACAATTTGGGAAGAGGAGACACGATTGTTCGAGCCTCGCGGATCGTTTTTATCGTTGTTGACGATCGCCGATTAGAAAAACGAACCGTGAGACGCAGTGAGCGACAATTGGAGAGAATTTATTCTATAGGATGTCCCAAAAATGTCTCGCGAAATGGAAATGGGGGGTTCCCGAGGTCATTCGAAGCAACATTTTCCTTAACGAAAATTTAATCCGCGGCTTCGTTTACGAGTTATTGACGAAAAACGCTGATCAATGAGAGATCGCGTGCGGCTGACGCCACGCCCTCGCGACCACTGCCGCCGCGTCAGACGGCCGGCGCGACGCGGCATTGGCCGCGAGGGCGGAGCGTCGACCGAGCTCGGTTCTTATTGGTCAGCGTTTTTCGTTAAGTCGATTCGAAAAGTCAGCAACCCCTAAGTCGAAACAAGACGTCCTTGGTTATTTTCATCCAATTATTTCGTTTCGGATTGTCAGGTCGAAAAAGCTCGTTTAGGTTTCTCTTAGTATAGCACGATAATTGAACCCTTTGCACTCGAATGACGCCATTGTCGCCGCTACGGCAACAATTTACACACTTTACAGAGTGTTACCTCGAAAGTGGCACACGACTTTTTACCAACGAGGCATGCGTCTAACAAGAAAAGCATAGAACAAAAGCTGCAGCGTGGGGAGCGTACGACAGATGTTAGTAAACAAATGGCGAAATTAAGGTCACCTTGGTTATTACGAATGGGGACACATACATTCTTTTTACCATATTAAAGGAGGACATCGAGACGAATTCAAAACACATATCGCACAATATTTTTACTAACATATTACTCGATTTACAATGTGTATTTTTTATCACATTTTTGGTCGTATTAGAACACAAGAAAAATTGCACTATATTTAATTTAGATGTTCGAAATACGTTTCACCTTCCGCGATGCAATATTCTGCGCTTTTGCAGAAGTTTTTACAGACTGCAAGTGGATAAAAAAACCGTGCGTCACGCGTTAGAAATAAAACTCTGTATATTCATATCAAAGCTGTATTTCTCTTTAATTATTGTTATTTTTTCATACTATAATAAATAAGAAATAAAACCACAAAATCGTTTGTTCATTAATTCCTACACAATTTCGACTACCTCGATGTCCTTCACTATTAGAATTAATTATTGTCCAATTATTTTACGCACCAAACTGGCAAAAAGCAACGCACAAGCAAAACAAACTACGCTAAGAATCAATAAAAAAAAAACAACAACACTGGCAGTGTCAGTAAGCAATGTTTTATTATCCAAACACTCGTATCACTCTGTTTGCAATTTTCGCAAGATCTTGCACAAAGATCTTCCGAGTGCTAAGGGTCAATAATAATCTTCCGGTAGATAAAGTGTTACAAAGAAATCAAATCGCATGACCGATGTTCCGAATTGTAACGCGGCGATACGATGCGAACAACAATTACGGGAACACGGTAAGCCGTTCTTATATTTTTATATTTTTCCATTTTGGAATCGCCTTTGAAAACTCGACGACACGAGGCCGCGGAAAGTTCGTTTCTCGTAACATTTCATGACCACACGAGGGTACGGATACAATAATAGAACGCAACGATGATACATAATGCAGTCAGGATGATATCGTCGGTTTCGATTTACGTACAAAAACGTAATTTAATGCGTATTAAACGATCGGACAAAAATTGGAGGCTGTCGACGCGCATAACTTACCAATAACTCCTTCCTTTGCGAACTATAGCGACGGGAAAATGATAAAGAAGAACAATTAGGACGCAACAGAAAAACGACGCTTCACGGAAATAACTGCTGTAATACATCGTGATCAAGCCCACTATCTAAATAAACAGAACGGTTCATAGATTAAATCGTAATTTTTCGGGGGGGGGGGGGATATTCGATAGTTCGAGGCGAATCGTCGATTGGATTCGTCGGGTGCCGCGACGATACAGACCTGCAAAAACCATTCGATAAGCTTTTTCGTTTTCCTGTTCGTAACTGGACCGAAACGATAGCAAATCACAAGGCTGATAAGAGACGTCGCTAAGATATACCAAGTTAGCCATTCTCTGTACTGTATAACGATCAGCTGCGCGTTCTCCCACAACGCTTGTATCAAATAAAAGCTCATCGTCCAGCCGGTTGCTATCATCACGTACATCGCTTTGCCCTTTAAACGATATCGTAATTGCAATTAGAACATACCGTCGATCGCAACGATTTACGAAGCATACGCAGGACAGGAGACAAAATACGAAGGACCGCATCCTCTCTTTACCTTTGGCAATAGCTTGCTAACGAGATAGACTAGTATTATCGCCGACGTTGTGATTCCAAGCGCGACGCCGCACAAATAGTAAAACAATGGATTGCCGCTCAACTTACGCGCGCTGCAGAACGTTATAATGCCCAGCACCATTAACGATAATTTCAAGCTATCGAGACCTACGAACAAGGGCTCGAAATGCATTTCATTCTTACAGGTGTACACGTGTGCACGCATCGTGTGTTATAACATATTTGAAAATTCATTCTGAGTATGCGCGATCGTCGCGCGGCCGTCGTTGACGTGTATGTGTGTGTGTGTGTGTGTGTGTGTGTGTGAAACTCACGTGTTTGCGTCACACTTATCATGTATTTCTTCATTTTCGAGGGTTGCGCGTACACGCCTATGCACGTATCCTCGAACGGATTGAGTTTCAACTTATTACTTTTCTTAGTGCCGAACAAATTGAAACGCCATGATCGCTTATTGTCCTCGTGCTTTTCGATCACCTCTGCCGGCGTTGTTCCGTCGTACAGATCGTAATTATCTAGATTCGTGCTCAAGTGCATCTACAATATACATATATATATACATACGCGCATAAAACAATAACGCTATCTATGCGGATACATCGCAGCTAAAATGAAATTAAATGAAATTAAATGAAATGTAAGGTTTCCTTACTGTTAAGCTCTTCCATATGTGTATCAAGTATTTCGTGTTCGCCCTGTGACAAAATATCTGCAATTCTGGCTTGTCGATTTCGAAAACATCATCCACGTTTAGAAAATGTACTGGGAACCGTAGATCGAAACAATATATTATTATTACCACTATTATTGTCATTAGTTTATTACTTATTATGTACGGGTCATGGAACTCGTTGATAACAAAAATAATAACGAAGAATTGAAAAAGTATTTGTATTAGTATTTGTAGTAGTATTTGAAAAACTATGTATAGACTTGGTAAGGAAGTCAATACATACGTAGAGTAATGATCGGAGACAATATCATTAACGGTGCAAATACGGTGAAGAGAAGAATGTTGTTATAATCGTGTCACATGATACTTACTACGCGAACGCAATACATGTATGTAAACACATACGTATAGCCGTGTATTTATACCGCACTTATACCATACTTGTATGTGTCTTGACTTTAAATAAACTATTCTGTCGACGGTCCTAATGGATGCACATAGAATCTCGTAATAATGAGGGTGCAAACATAACAATGCTTCGTGAACGGTATTCTCGCCCTGTCAGTACCGTACTTCTAACAATTTTTCAAATCGGCAAATCCACTCTATACGAATTGGAAATATAGGTTAGAATGACTTACTTGAATCATCGGTTGATGCGGACTCCGTACAAGGGTAACTACAAACAAGTAACGATACGATTACACTTAAAAGTTGTACTGTTTTCAAACACATTTTTATTAATTCTACATCTACCGGACACTACGAATGACAACTGAACATTCGCGAATACAGTACAACCGCAGTCTCGTGAATTTTGCCGTTTGCTTGTTTGAAATTCGAGTATCGAAACCGCGCGAAGATCGATTCATCCCCACCCACCCCCACTCCTCACCTTATTCAACGTGTTGTAACCGTCGCATCTGCCGCCGTTGTCCGAAGTATAAATTCTACGTTCCATATTTACGTTACTGATAGATTACTTGGGGCACAGGTACAAAGAATTACTTCGAATCGATACGAAACATTCGAAATTATTTGTTGTGGCGATATTCGTACGAGTATGTGCACTTTAAGTACAATACTTTTCACATCCGCGATTACGATTTACGATTCAATAATACTTATCGCGCCATCCGAAGCGGCGTGTGCAGGAAAACGGGTATTTCGTAACAAAATAGAGACACAAATTAAAATACATCATAAATGGCAATGCGATGTTAGTTTAACGACGCGAGCAGAATTTCGAGCAAAATTATGTGGCAATTACGATCGTGGCAATCGTTTGTGAAAACGCCGCGCAGCGCCATCTGCGCTTCACACTTATCGAATTTAACGAAGTTTACGAACTTCAGGTCGCGTCGAAGTGAAAAGTAGCGGGAGAACTGGTGTCATTCGAAAAGCAGTCCTGATTTCGTAATCATCGAGGCACGTTGTGACAAAACACTGGGAACTTGTGGATTCTGTCTCGCATCATCGATGAGTCAATTCGTTACGGTACAAGGTATGTTTTCCTTTATATTACGGCTAGTGTACTCTTGTCGCATGTATGCATTGTAACCAACGTTTCAATTAAACAAACAATTTAATATCGTTTTATTACAGTTGGACAATGCGGGAACCAGATAGGCTCAGCATTTTGGCCGTTGGCCCTGTACGAATACGGTGTGCAAACTGGATGCACTGGCGTAAACCTTCCGAAAATTCAACGTAACGATGCTAAGAAAACGGACGATCTGTTTGATGCGTTTCATAGTTTTTTCGTTTTACCTGACACTGCCCACGGTACGTCTTTCAAGAGTATCGCTGACATAAAAAAAGCTAAAGTCAAAGCCCGGGTAATCAGATCTGTATTAATGTAGCTCATTGATTTTCTTATAGCAGAAATGTATCTATCGATCTCTTGTTGCATAGGCGGTATTAATCGACATGGAAGACACCGTAATAGCAGGATTGAAGAGGGGTCCTCTGCATCATTTGTATGAACAGGCTTGCATAGTAACGAACTACCCAGGATCTGCAAATAATTGGTAAGTTTTTCGATTATATTATTCATGGATGATGGTTGGATCATTGAAGAAACCCTGGAACCAAACTTGTACGACGCGTCTAATTTTTAGGGCTGTAGGCTACCATGATCATGGTACAACGTATCATGACAAATTGGAGGATACCGTTAGACGTACTGTAGAGAAATGTTCTAGGCTACACGGTTTCTTAGTTCTGCATTCGGTAGGAGGTGGCACTGGTTCTGGATTAGGAACAGCTACGTTAAAGTTGTTAGCCGATAGCTATCCTAGCGTAGACAGGTGATCTTCTTTAAACTCGCTGATATTTATTAAAATTTGTCACAAATGGTAAACAATAGAAATTTTACAGATTAGTATCTTGCGTCTATCCGACGTTTATGCAAGATGTCGTTACGGCTCCGTATAACACCTTGCTGGCGACGCGAGAGCTTCTAGAACATGCAACGTGCGTGTTTCCTGCCGATAATACCTCGTTAATGGACATATGCATGTTACAAACTAAGAAAAAGGAGAACGTGGATCAGATCAATTATAACGCTTCGTGCCGTCCGTTTCAAGATATGAACAGTATCGTTGTTAATATGCTTCTTCATTTAACTAGGTAACGATAACAGTTTCGAAAGTGTAATTGATGTTAATGTAAAAAGCGTTTCTCTGAAAGAAAAAAAAAATGTATATATACGTTTAGTGGTTCTAGATTTCCTGGTGCGCTAAACATTGATATGAATGAAATAGCAACGAATCTCGTATCGTATCCTAAAGTGCATTATATATACAGTAGCTTCAGTCCAATGGCTTTACCCGCGTCTCTAATGTACGCAAGAAAAGAAGCAAAGTAAGTATCGAATTTGAATCGTCTTTGAATTGTGATCGAATTCTGCCATAATCGACTAGCCGTCGGATACTATGTTTAAGGCTGCAAGACGAATTATTCATGAGTGCGTGGTCAAGAAGTAATCGACTAATTAAAATAGATCCAATGCAACCAAGTTCTATGATCCTAAGTAGCGCGCATATTGCAAGAGGAAATTGTTCAATGACCGATCTAAAACGAAACATCGAGAGGTGCACTAATCGCCGCATTTGTTTTAGCAATGAAATATTCGAACCGTATAACGTAATTGAAATGATCGAAACATGTTATTCTTGTAGATTTCAAGGAAAAATGAAGTTCACGACATGGAGCAGGGAAGCTATGAAAATAGGTTTGTGCTCCGTGCCACCGGCCGGGCATTCAGCCTCGGTTTTGTGTCTGTTAAACTGTTCGGCCATGTCATCGTTGTTCAAGAATATCGTGGAACAATTTAACACGCTGTACAGAAGGAAGGTAAGATACATACGTAAGTTGCAACGTTGCGCAAATTTTCTTTAAACAATCATGTAATCATGGAATTATATTACAGGCTCATGTACATCATTACACACGAGTGCAAGGTTTCGAAGAAGCAGATTTTCTCAACAGTAAGGAGTCGATTACAAATTTGATTACACAGTACACCGAATTAGAAAATCAAAAGCAATTCGATGTGTCTAGGCTACAGGTAATTTAATTACGTTTTAGCGTGGCAATAACGAAACGATTAAGATTACGAATATGTGTGTATATGCATGTGTGTGTGTGCAACGCAAAGATGTCTCTTAATGAAAACAATAAATTGTCTACCGACAATAACAAAATTATATTAATCCTTAACATGATAGCTCGCGGAATTTCTTACCGGTAACTTTGAAACGTTACGTTTGCGCATAGGCATCATTTTACGTACGCGAATTCGTTGAAAAGCTTTCAAAATCTTGCCGGAACGTAACGACTGTCGCAACGTTACGTTGTTGTTGTTGTTGGTTGGTGCCGATTTAACTAGCAGTTATCTGCGGTAAACCAAATTCATCGACCAGTACACCGTCCTGTAAGAAAAGAAATTGATATCGATTTGGACCAAAATGGTCGCGGGTGTTTCTTGAAACGAGTACGAACCTTATTTCTAACCGAACTGGCGCCGGGCTCTTTATCGGGGGCGGTAGGTGCTTTTATAGCGTCGTCCAAGTAACTGGTGTCTTGATCTATAGCCAAATCATCCCCGAGAGCTTCGAGTTCCGCGGTGAGCTCGTCCTCGTCTATGTCCGGCATACCATAACTGCGACCCATCGCCTCCTGCACCTCGTCCGCTTGTTCCAGCATGTCGGCCAGGTCGTCTTGCATGTCCTACACCGTTTCCGGACGGATGCCCGGACGAATATAGTGGATGAACGAGAAAAGACAACGCGAGACCAAAGACCCTCGGTACGTACCTCGATATTATCTATATTAATGTTTTTGAATTCCTTCTGCATCTGTTTGACACCGTCTTTCATGGCTACCACGGTCGCTTGGGTGTCTTTCAAAGTTTGCGTCGCGTAGTTCGCTTGTTCCATATTAAACGCCTGTTGACGCAAATTGTCGACTTGCGACTCGTACATTTTCCGTTGCTTCAGAACACGCATCGCCTTGGCTTTGACCGCGTTCTTCGCGGGACCTTCTCTCATCGAGACCAACTGGTCTTTGTATTTCTTCAGTTCCGCATCTAATTTCGCGATCTTTTTCTCCGCCGAGTCTGCTCTGCTGTCAACCTTCGGAAGACATTGTTACGATCAAATGAATTGTAAGTTCTAGAAATCGTAGCATAACCTCTACGGCATATTTACTTACTCCAGCGATGCAATCTGTCAAGCTCGGTGGTGGTTCTTTAGGTTTTGCACGTCCGAACAGCCTGTTCATTTTCGTCGAATCGAAGACAACAGCGAGAGGCCGAACAATTTGAATTTCGTTTTCGCGATTCTGTTGCTGTCGTTCTATTATGTACTATCAAAATGACAAATCAACTGATTCATCAGAATCACCAATTAACTACAGAGCAGATAGCGACAGCGAACCTCCGCAGTGATACTTCAGATTCGGATACTGCAAAACTCTCCAACGACAGCTCGATCCGTTAGGGAGAACAGAGGTAGAAATTGCTATGCTCTGATTGGTTGACGATCAAATGCCGAGACAGGGTTCACTGCGAATTGGATGTGCAGTAAAATGCTTGGGTACAAGTGCTTCCTTAGAATAAGAGAGGTCCATGGTCCATGTAACAGCCATGCAATAATGGTAAAGTTAGATCATTGCACGCCATTTTTCAGTTTTGTGCTCAAACGCGGCAGCACCAATCAGAATCGCAGACTAAGAAGTCATTGTTTCGACTGCCGCCTACGCTAGCTGCTAACTTGGCGAACTAAAATCCAATATGGCTGCCCACCCGCATACGCGTTTGGTGGACTGTGGTAGACCATATACCGAAGCAATGCCATTCCCGCTATTCTAAGCGAAGCCAAGGTGACTGCAAGCCGCACCCATTTTTATTTCCCATAGTCTCTTATACTTTTATAATAGTATTTTGTATTTTTGTATTTTAGCTTTTGTTTTAGATTCTTGTAAATTGATTCGTCCTATCATCGACAACATAGCAGTAAAAGAAAAGTGCCCGAAATCTTGCCTATAGAGTCGAGATCCTCTGTACACTGAATTCTTGTCTTTTCTGTACACGCACTGTACACATGCCGTGTCTAGTAGTATATGGTCTAAGAGTTAACCGACGCATCGAAGCGACATCTGTTACCCAGTATGTATATACTTTGTGATACATATACGACGACGATCAATCATTGAAACGATTAAAATGCGTTCACGAAGGGAAAGAATAAATGTTCGTACTTTTTCGTTTAAATAAAATCTGCGTATTTGCTGTACCCTGATAGACCTAGCATTACCGAACAATTAGTGGTCGATTCGGGCACACCGCACGGTAATCGAAACAATTACCGATCGATGTTATTAGAATTTTATAGCTCATGCTTTGGATCCATCTGAGTTTATAAGCTTGGCGACAAAGAATACATTAGTATATAATACATTTACAGTTCCCTGAGATTTACAACTTTTTATAAATTTCATTTAGTTTATATCGACCTATCCTTACTTTTTCTATCTTATGTTTATTCTATTACGCCTCCCTCCCCTCCAACCAGGGAACAACAATTCTTTCAATCAAGTATTCTCTCCTTTTCTCAATCATCCGACAAACTCTACAAACAATACTATAAACGATTCGAAAACGATTAATCCGAAAGAGAATGCGATACGTTTTTCTTATCCGTTCGCCTCTCGCATCGCGCATCGACGGAGGTCGCGCATCTAGTTTCCAGATATCGCCGACAGATGGCGTTCGGCGAGTCGCGGACTAAATCGATCGATTCTCGATTCGCGCGATCGATTGGGCAATGGCTGCCGCACGGTTCCTCGAACGACTGCGTGGGCTCGAAACGAGGAGACGACATTCTACAACAATCTTGGACGTTCCTAACGAATGAAAAAAGATGAAACCGAAAGGATGCGCGAGATGGTTCCGCGGTTCGTCGTCGCAGACTTTCGAGTCGGCGAAACGGTAAATCGTTGCGACATAAGTAAGCTGCGAATCGATAACCTGCGAAGCGCGTTGCAGAGGATCGAGAAGGGTTGGGAAAGGGGGGTTGCGAAGGGAGCGAGCGAGAGAGGGAGATAGATATAAACGTTGGATCATCGGTGATTGTGGTTTCAGCTAGTTATCGGGAACGAGAACGGTGGTGGCGGCGGCGGCGGCGGCGGCGGCGCGGCAAGAAATGCGCGTGCGTGAGGTACGTCGGCGCGCGACGCAGCAACGACGACGACGTCGACGAGGACGAGGACGAGGACGAGGACGAAGCGGCGGGCCGAAGATCGCCGAGCTCACGGGTGTACGCGGAGCGCTACAACTGGTAATGGTGTGGGCCGCGGCACGGCCACAGTGTTCCAAAAGTCGGCACGACGCACGAATCGTTTTCACGCTCGGCGCAGAGCCACGAAGCCGCGTCGTCGAATCCGGGCTCTTCTGGCCTCCGACCGAGAGAGCCCCGTCGAGCGCATCGTCGAGCGCAGGCGACAACCGCCGTCAGCGATCCGTCAACGAGGACCGACGATCCGAATCTGCTGCTCGCGGAGAACACACGACGAGACGGGGGACTTGGAAGAAAAATAATAAGATTACACGCGAACACGAAACCGAGCTGTGCCGCGTGTTAACAACGCCGGTGCAACACACCCGTCTACGTAACTATAGTGCTAGTAATAAAATATGCTAGTTATCGATAAGAAGACCTAAAAACGGGGATCGAGCGAGGTTGTTGGAAGTCGAGCGGAGCCGAGCCGAGTCGAGTCGAGTCGAGTCGGCGAGGTGTCGCGCGGGTTTCCACCGAAAAGGTGCCCAAGGTTTCGCGAGGTGAGCACACGGGAAAATCGATCGCGGCCCGAAGGAGCCCAGAGTGGTAATACACGTTCGAGAAAAGGGTTCGCATCGTGCGCGGGTCTCTCGCGTTCGCTGATACGTGAACGCGAGCCCTGCGACACGGTCGCGCGTTCGTAGGCGATATATTTGCGCGATCCTCGCGCATAACAGTGCGCGTAACAGAGTGGTCCGTTCGTTCGTTCGTTCGTGTCGTGTCGTGTCGTGTCGCATCGTGTCGTGTGCGCGCATCCCATTCCGCGTCTCGTCGCGTCAGTTTGGTTTCCCCAACGATAGAGCGGCGAGCGAGCGACCAGCAGCGGCGACCGGCCAGCAGCGACCAACGATCGTCGTCAATTCCGCAAAAGGGTCGCGAGTGGGTCGCGAGTGGGTCGCAAGCGGATCGCAAACGGGATCGTGCGTTGCTTACGTCGGAAGTCTGTGCGAGAGAGTGATGTGCGAGTAGTAGTAGGTAGTAGTAATAGTAGTAGTAGCGGCAGCGGCAGCGGCGGCATTAGCAGCAAATAGTAGTAGTAGCAAATTGTGTCGCGAGGAGTTAAAGAATTGTGCGGTCGAAACGCGCGCGCGGTCAATTCTCGGCGAATAGAAGCATGCTGGTCTAGGGGAGGACGGCGTCGAGAAGGGCTCGCCGAAAGAGAGAGGGTATATATATATGTATTCGTGTCTCGATCGAGCAATCGAGCTATCGTGAAATCGTGCAATCGACGTTCTTCGTCCATGTTTCTTCGGCCGTGTTTCGGTGTCGGAGGATGAAGAAAGGGGTCGAGCGATCGGCGGCTCGATAGCGACGAGAAGAATGCAAAGTCGTCGTCGTCGAATGATCGGAAAGCAAGAACGGTCACGGCGTCGTTAGCGTTGTTCGATCAATCGGACGAAGGTTGACGAACCGTCAGGACGATCAAGTGGGATAGAAGAGGAGGAATCGTGGTCGGATTAAAACGAGCGGCGCGCGATCCAAGAGCATCGAAAGAAGACGAGGAAGTAGTCGAAGAAGAGGCCGAAGAAGAAGAAGAAGAAGCAGCAAGAGGGTGGAGGAGGAGGTGGTGGAGGAGGCGGAGGAGGAGGAGGTGGAGGAGGAAGAGGAGGAAAATCGAAGGATAGCGGTAACAGCGGCAGCGAAAAGAAGAAGAAGAAGAAGGAGGATCGAAGTAGGCCGGTGTGGCCTGCACAGCTTCCGGTATATTCGCTGGTGTTTTTACGCGTACGGCGTGGATCGATAGGTGTCTCGCGAGCTCTTCGGTCGAGCTGGTCGAACAACGTCGTTCGTGCCGGCAAGGACGAGCTCGTCGCGACTAGAAAACGGTGTGCAGCGTCGCGGCCGCCTGGGAACTGGGAGAGAGCAAGCGGAAAGAACAACAAGCAAGGAAGGAAGGAAGGAAAGGAAGGGTCAGGAAGGGAGAGTTAGGGAAACGCGAGAAGGAGGAGGAGGAGAAGGAAGAGGGAAAGGAAAGGAGAGGAGGAACGGTGAACGATTTATGGGGGACTTTAGCGCGACAAGCCTGTTCTCGAGCTCGTTGTCAGCCCCGACGAAATCGTCGATCGGTAGCGGTGGTGGTAGCGGCGGCAATAACGCGGTAACCGTGACCACCTCGACGATGCAGGACGATCTCCTGATAGAGAAACAAGGTATCGGGAAGACCGCGCCGTTATCGCCGAGCAGCGGCTTGGACACCGTGGCCGGACAGGAGAAGGCGAAAGACGCGGTCGCGGTCGCGGTCGAGGTCGAGAGTATCGCTATAACGCCGACGACGCCCTCCTCCACCGAGAAGGACATTACGTGCAACACCGGATCGACGCTCCAGGGGTTTACCGATCCTGGCAGGGTGCCGAGTCTCTGGTCCGCCCCGGACGATGCCGGTCTGCACGCGTTACCGGTCAACGGGTCCATCGGCGCGTTTCAGAATTTTCCGAGCAGCGGCCCGACCGGACTGTTCGCGAGCACCGGCCCGGCCGTGTCGACGGGGGCTCGTCGCGCCATCACGGCCAGTCATAATTTTCCTCAGCAACACGGGAACGCCGGGGCGCCGGGCAACCGACACGGCCTCCAGGTGTCGTCTGCTCAGCAGCATCAGCAGCAGCAAGCCCAGCAACAGCAGCAGCAACAGCAACAACAGCAACAGCAGCAGCAACAGCAGCAGCAACAACAGCAGCAACAACAGCAGCAGCAGCAACCGCCGCAGCATCAACAGCAACAGCCTCCGCAGGCGACCTCGCATCCCGGTGTTTACCTTCCCGGGAAGGGTTACGCGGCCTGGTCCGGCGGCCCGCAAGCGCCCCAACAATGGGGCGCTGGGCCGCAGGCGGCCGCGGCCGCGGCTGCGGTCGCGAATCCAGGACTTTCGCCGTGGAGTCGCGGCAGATCGGTGCCGAATCTACCTCCTTTGCACTCGTCGTTGCACGCGGCCGCGGCGGTCGCCGCCGCCGCCGGACTCCAAGGGAGGAAACCGAGCCCGACGTTCCCGGGCCATCCGGGCCCGGCTGCTCATCCGTCTTGCATCAGTCCGGTGAAGTTCCGTAGGAGCACCTCGTACCCCGGCAAAGGCAACATGTACCCGCCGCAACCCGCGCCCACCTTCGAGGTCACCGCTGCCGAGGACAGGGATTTGCTGCAGTTGCCGCCGTTTCAGCAAGTAAGTCGGCCTACGTTCGATCTCGACGCGCGTGTCCGCGAAAGAAACCGTTTCTCTCCCCCCCTCTAGTCTCTCTCTCTCTCACACACACACACACACACATATACATAGTCTCTCTTTTTCTCTGTCTTTCTCTCTCGCTCTCTCTTCGCACCCTTTCCGCGAGCACGCGGCAGCGTGGGTGTTTCTTCCGTCGACTTTTAATCCGACATTCCGTTATCGATCGTTGTGCATCGACCGCGCGACAGGGTGCCTTTTGTAATCGTGCTAACCCGTCGAAAAAAGTATACACAGCTCGGCGGCGGCTCGGACTTCCGCAGTTTCGTTCGTGCGCGTACCTACTCGATGCCAGGTTATGCAACCGCTTTCAGTCTCGAATTTAAATTTAGAACGTACAACCGCTGTTTCGACGGTCGCGCGTCCTACGTCGTTACAACGTACACCGGACGCTGCACGGTGTCCGTACACCATGGTGCATCGTGCAGCGACGTTTTCCCCGGACAATTTACGAGCCTTCGACTCTTTCGCGTCGATCGCCTCGTCGCACGCTAAATCGCAAGAACGTGGAAGCCTGCGTTTCGACGTGAACGCGTCGACGAACGACGACGAGCCGCTCGTCGAGATTCTAAGAGTTCCGACCGAGAGCGCCGCGGCGTCGTTCGAAGAAGAAGAAGCTTTTCCCGATACTTATTTCGTCGCCGATGCCTGACCCAGTTCCGCGTTGGTACGCGGCAGAGCCGCCGAACAGCGTCGTAGAGCAGAAGTTTAAGCTCAGCTATTTTAGCCGCCTGTCAAATATAGACCTGCATGCTCTGTCCTAGAGAAATGGCGGAGTCTCGTGCGCGAGATTCTCTCTCGCGCCCTTCGGCGGACCCTCCGTCTTCCTCCGGCCGCGATTTCTCCGTCGGGCGGAATCGTCGCGGGCCGCGCCGGGCCTCGTCGTTATCAATCGTCGCTCGAAACGCGGTCGAAGATGCTCGCGATAAACGCGTTCTTTGACTGGCACGCGCAAGGCTGACCGCGTGTGTCACCTATTTTGCACACGTTGGAACACGGCCGGAGCGAGCCGCGTCGCGGCGTTCCGCGCGAGAGAGACCGCGTAGCTTCCAACGAAATTCGATTCGCACGGCGTCGGATCGATTGCGAGAGCTCTTCCTTTGAAAATTTCAAAGTCGAGTCATGGATTTTGTATGTGTGTGTACGTATAGAAAAGTTGCAACGAGCGCGCGCGCGCGCGCGCGTGCGAATGCCCGACGGCGAATGTGCAAACGCGGGCCCCCGCGCGCGCTCGCGTCGACCTCGCCGGGCCTCGCGTAGGTGAATCGCGTCGAACGTCGAAAGCGAGACGCGAACTCGCGTTACCGATATACCCGTTTATCCGCGTCGGTAAAAACCACTGAACCGAGCGCGTTACACACGCTCCCGAGCCGCCGTGTCCGATAACTCGGCCGCTCGTCGCTCACCTTGGAAGCGAATCGGGACACGTGCGAAGTCGAGGCGAGTCGAGCCGAGCCGAGCCGAGCGCGGCGCTCGCTGGCCAGTCGATGCGACCACGCGTGTCGTGCCCGCGACCGCCGCAGCAGCAGGCCTCTCTATCGCGCGTCCTATTTCGCGTGCCGATCGTACACGGCCTATTTCGATCTATACAGGGTGTCCGAAAAATGTCTCGCGATCCGAAAGTGGCGGGTTCCTCGGATCGTTCGAAGCAACTTTTTCCTTTATAAGAATGTTCTCCGACGCACCGTTGACGAGTTATCAACGAAAAACAACGACCAATGAGAGGCGAGCGCGGCTGGCGCGAGGCGACCGAGCCAATGAGCGTGACCGGGCGCCGTCGACTGGGCCGCCTGGCGCCTGCCGCGCTCGCCTCTCATTGGTCGCTGCTTTTTCGTTGATAACTCGCGAACGACGCCTCGGAGAGAATTTTTGTAAAGGAAAAAGTTGCTTCGAATGATCCGAGGGACCCGCCATTGTCCGTATTTCGTCCCTACGGGCTCGGTTCCGGGACGGTCGAGGCGCTCGTCCCGAGCGGAAGAACGGGATCTCGAGTCGCGCGCGCGAGATCCTAACCTAGTTCCGTCATCGTCGCCCCGCGCCGTTACGGACACGTCGTATTTTCGGAATTGCCGAACGCGATACATAACTATCGTCGAGCGCAGCGCGGGCACGGGGCGGCACGGCGTGCCACGCGTCGAATAGACGGAAATGTAGGCGGTGGCGAGGTGGCATCTGGTGTTCGCAAGCGGCCGATACGCGCGGCCGGGGGGAGAGGAAAGCGTGCGAGGAAATTGATAAAAGACGATTAGCCGGGCACCGGTCGCGTGCACCAGATACGAGGCGTTCCGTGGATGGGCGTTATTAATACAGAGGCGATAATCGGTTCTATCTGGGATCGCGAAGGTAACCCGCGTCCGCGGACAGACGGCGACGGTTCCAAAGATCGCGCGATCGCCGACACTCGCGGCCCGGGCCTCTCCGGCCAGAAGCGATAATTACATCGCGGCCCCGGTGGCGTGGCATAAGTTCGTCCTTGGGATAGGCACGGCGCGCGAAGAAGAAAAACATTTGCGTCGCGTGTTCCATTCCGTCACGGTCGTCGAGCCTCGCGCGCCGCACGGCGCGGTATCCCGACGGCGGCGCGTCGGAACACACGGCGCAAGACGCAGTTCGATCAAACTTTTGCCCTCCCCGACTAATTCGAAATACGGGGAACGCGGAATATCTGGATGGTTAACCCAATTCGGGATCCCTCCTGTTCGAATTGGAAACTGCGCCGGTGCAGAGTGACCCGGCACGAGGTTTATAGGTCAGTCCGGTTTCCGCGCGGTATAGATTTTTCGTCCAGGGCTCGCCGTCTCGCGCGCGCTGCGCAACATTCTCAAAAGCATTCGCCACCATTCGCCGTTCCGGGTCGACCCTCTCTGTCTTCCCCGCGCGTTTGTCTACTCCTATATGCCAAATTATATTATATATATTATATTATATACAGAGTGTCCCAAAAATGTCTCGCAATCCAAAAGTAGCGGGTTTCTCGGGTCGTTCGAAGCAACTTCTTCCTTTACAAAAATGTTCTCCGACGCACAGTTAACGAGTTATCAACGAAAAACAGCGACCAATGCGAGGCGAGCTCGGCTGGCGCGAGGCGACCGAGCCAGTGAGCGCAACCGGGCTCCGCGCGCTGGTTGGCTGGGCCGCCTCGCGCCAGCCGCGCTCGCCTCTCATTGGTCGCTGCTTTTTTGTTAATAATTCGCGAACGACGCCTCGGAGAACATTTTCGTAAAGGAAGAAGTTGCTTCGAATGATCCGAGGAACGCGCCGTTCCCGAGACATTCTTGGTACACTCTGTATACATCTTCCGCCGGAGAATTATCTCTCACTGAAAGCGCAAGACGTTCCACGATCCTCTCGAATTAATTCCCGCAGTAATTCTTCGCACGAATTTTACTTCTTTTCATTATCTTATCCAGCCCCGATCGAACGCGGCGCTCCCGTTCACCCTCGCGCGCCCTTTCTTTCCTCCTCCTTCTCCGTTTTAATTGGTTCCTCGTCGCGTCCCGTCGCAGCGCTCGTGGCCCAGTTTCCAAGCCCTCCTCCCTCTCTCTCTCTCTCTCTCTCTCTCTCTCTCTGTCCGTCCGTCTCCGGAGAAAGCAAGCTCCTCGCGAATCCGCGCTCGCAAGCTCGCCGCCGCCGATGCTTTGTCATCGTTTGGCAACGCCAGCGACATCGATGCGTCGAATGGCGTTGTTGGGTAGCATCGGCCGGCATCGATCCCTTCGATAACGTAACCCGCTCCGCTCGCTAACGAGCTGCACACGTTTGCGCGTAAGCGACACACGGATCGAAGAGAGAGAGAGAGAGAGAGAGAGAGAGAGAGAGAGAGAGAGAGAGAGAGAGAGAGCGACAACGAGCGATATGCAGTCCCGCGGTAGCCTCCAAATAGTTTCGCTCGCGGCGCGCGTTGCATCGCCGCAGCGGCGGAGGGTTGAACGGGGAGAGGAAGCGGCGGCGGCGACTGGCCATGTTCCGGTGCCGTGTTTCCTTGCCACGCCAATCCTCCTCGTTGTTTCTCGCTCTCTCTCCTTGTCCTCTGCTCGCCGGCCCCCCCCTCTCTCTCTCTCTCTCTCCCTCTGCCCCGTTTCCCGGCGGGGTCTCGCTTGCGCCAACGGTGACCCAGTTCGCGGTGGCTGGCTGGAATCGTTTCTTCCGCACTTGCCTCGAGATTCAGGTTACGCCGCGCCGTCGTCCCGGTCTCTACGCTCGATTTCCACTCCCCCGGCCTCGGCTTCGCTCGCCTCGGCTCGCCTCGGCTCGCCTCGTCTCGCCTCGCCTCGCCTAGCCACGCATCGCCGTGCAACGCCACACGCGTTGCCTCGCCAACGGAACCGAACCGTCCACTACCGTTTCGATCCGACCGTGCCCCCGCCCCCGCCCCCGCCTACGCTGCCACCTCCGCCTTCGGAGCTCTACCTCCGCCGCCCCCCTACCTGCCTTGTCATCCCTCGACTTTCGATTCCACGATCGACCGACGCGATTTTTGCGTCGCGTCAGCAGCACGCGCGCCCGAACCGACGGCAAATTTTTCCTTGGCACGCTTCCGCAACGACGTGCACCGTTGCGACGTTCGTCGAGCCGACGGCTACTCCCGGGAACCGTCGCTCCGTCCCGGAACAACCGGAACAGGAAGAGCTCCCGGGGGAATCGAAGGGGCTGTTGCGAGCTTCCTTCGAAGGCGCAGCGAATGCGTCGGAGTCGAGGAAAAGCAGCCGAAGTGGGGAATTCGCTCGTTCTTTCCTTCCCATTCGCTTGTACTTTTGCTCGCTCTTTCCTTCGCCTTCGCTTGTAACTTCAACCTGCGAAGACGCGCTCGCTCATAACCTCTCCCGCGATCGTCGCCTTCCCGCAGCGACCCTCCGTTACGCGTCACCGGAAGCATAACGGTGTCCCGTTCCGTTTCCGACGGAAAGACGTCTCGCGCGTCGAACGCCCCACACCCTGTTCCCCGCTGGTGCGCCCCCGTCCACGGCATCGAATCCCGCGGCTAGAAAGATGCCGCTGTTTTTTTACGAGCTGCAAACTTTGGAACTGGGCCAATCCCCGCGCGGCCACATGCTTTGCAACCGTATAGCGCAGAATCCCGGGTCACCGCTGCTCTCTTCTGCCCCACCGAGCGGGCCCCACCCCCCTCCCCGGGGCCGACCGATCCTCCGGCGATCCTCTCGTCTTTCGTTGCCGCACCGCATTTTCGGCGGCATCGCGCCCCGAGGCCCGGAATCGATATCGAGGAATCCTCGGACCCGTCCGCGAAACGCGGCGCGCGGCGGTCCGATGGTGCCGACGGCGCCGCTCGAAAGGATATCCGATTCGTTCGGATACCGATCGAACGGAGGAACAATCGCCGGGTGCATTCGCGAATATCGCCGAGGGAGCTTACGAAAATCCGGCGAGAACCGTTCTAGAGCGCGTACACGGTGGTAGAGAGCTTGCACGGAGGTGTTTCGCTGTCGACGCCCTGGCGCTGCTGCTTCCTGGTTTCCCTATATTGATTTTCTAGCGTGCCTCCAGCTAGACGGAAACGAAGCGGCGCAACGAGAGGGAGGGAAATCGTTGTCCCGTGGTTGCGCTCGCACATGGATGCGCGTGCCTACACGGACGTATCCTCCGGCCAAGTACTCGGTCGGTCGTGTCACGCTTGCGCCAAGAAACGCGCAGGCGCCAACCGGTGCGCCGGTGTGCAACCGATGCGCCTTGCGCCTTGCGTTTGCCGACTTGCGCCTTTGCCTTGCACCTATTCCGGCGACCGTCTTCGCCTTTAACCTTCTCCGCGGTTTTAACCGTGCTTCTCTACTCTAGCCGCTTCCACGACTTTGCTTGCACCTTTGCTCGCTCTTTCTTTTGCCTTCGCTTGCACTTTTGCTCGATTTTTCCTTTGCATTTGATTGTACTTTTGCTCGATTTTTTCTTCGCCTTTGTTTTCATTTTTTGTCGCCCTCCCCTTCGCATTCGCTTAGACTTTTGCTCATCTTTGTTTATAATTTTGCTCGCCTTCGCCCTCACTTATATTTTTGCTCACCTTCAGTTATTATACTTCTGCTTGCCTTCTTCTCATTCGCTTATACTTTTGCTCGTCTTCAGTTATACTTCTGCTTGCCTTCTTATTGGATTATACTTTTGCTCGCCTTCGCCCTCACTTATATTTTTGCTTGCTTTTTCCTTCGCCTTTGCTTATAATTTTGCTCGCCTTCAACTACACTTATACCTTTGCTCGCCTTCTTCGTCTTCGCTTATACCTTTGCTCGCCTTCTTCGTCTTCGCTTATAATTTTGCTCGCCTTCGCCTTCTTCGCCTTCGCCTTCTTCACCTTCGTTCTAACCCTCACCCTTGGCTTCTTCGGCTTTCTTCGACTTCGCGCTGTTCCTCAAGGCAAGGGCGTAAAAGTGCGCCCAGTATTTTCAAGCGGTGTCCCAGCGACACGCGAAAGCCGAAAGACAAGCCCCAGTTTCGACTCTCCCCGACGTCTCTGTGTGCCGAACCTTTGCTACTTCTCCAATCAATCCATCGAAATCCATTTCCGTTTCCTCGAGCAGCTCCGATCGATCCGTCGGGATCAGCGACGCGGATGCAGTCGCAGTAGTCGAGGACGACGAAAGGTCGGTCCAGCATGATTTGCCATCGGCGTGGTAGGGGCAGAACGTGACACACAAGGAGTCGAAACGGACCGTCGCACCGAATCGTCGCGCACGCTCGTGCATCGGAAACGTGCCGTACGGTTACGTTAGTCCCGCGCGAAAGACGGTGCGCGGCTGCATCGGACATGTTGTTTTCTTGCGAACGTGCTGTCGTCGCATCTCCTCCATCGATCCTACCCTTAACAAATTCGAACGAAACCACGAGACAGGCGCTCCGCTTTCCTGCGGACGCTCGGAACTCGTCCGATCGATGGGTGCCACCTATCCTCCGCTCTGTCCCCCTTCTCTCTCTCTCTCTCTCTCTCTCTCTCTCTCTGTTTCTCTCCTATGCCCGCGTTCCTCTCTCTCTCTCACTCTCCCTCTCTCTCTCTCTCTCTCTCTCTCT